GGTGAGTGAGGCTGAGAGGCTTCAGAGAAGTGTGACTAGCCCAAGGTCACTCAGCAGCTGAATGTAGAGGAGCGGGGAGGCAAACCTGGTTCCCCAGATTACGAGACTACCGCTCTTAACCACTACACCACACTGGCTCATCACACTAGGGGCTTCGGGGGCTTCAGCACCCCCAATAAAATGTTTGAGGGGACTGCTCCCTCCCCCAGTTTATGGACACTGCCATTCAAATGGTGTGCGTGCACCACATCTTACCCCCAATATTTCATTCAAGTATATAGTTCTTAACCTGCAGTCTGAGGACCAGCAATGGTCCTTGATGCAGTTTCATACAGTCCTCAAGACTTCAGTGAAAATAAGGTTGGAGGTTTCTTTGACGTTTCCAGATGCAGGAACTTACTTTGTAAACTATAAACTGAAAAGCTGCTTGCCTTTTCAGTACCTCAAACTGATGCAGTGGAAAATTTCTCCTCCAAGCCCACAGAAAGCTTTTTTGGACTGTGTTCCTAGAGGACAAGTACTCCAATTAATTTTAATTTAGAAGCACTTTTTGGCAACTTCCCAATAGCGGCCGTAAGGAACAAAGTTGTGGTGATTTGTGAAGAGCAAGCAAAACAGAACCGTGATACTCAACACAACCAAGTTTCTTCTACTTTAACTGAACTCTAGATAAACTCACACCACACAGTGAACTTGTCAATAAACTAGGATGAAAATTAAATTTGGAAATTAGAAGGCAAAAGGTTTGAAAACCCAAGATAAAAACAATGTTGTAAAAAAAAAAACCATTCGATTTTACACAAAACCATCAAAACAAAGTTGCAGATCTATAATAATTTTACGCCGGATATTATTTTTGTGTAGGGGCTGTACCATTTGAATACAGAATTATTGTAGAGAAGAGAGGTGTGTTCTTCTTAGATTAATAACTTGCAGAATACAGGATGTCCATAGACATTTGAGAAACCTTTATTAACTATTTACAAGATGAGGAGCCTCTGTTATAGAAAGCCATAGCTTACCTGTTGCTTAATCATTCTGCTACCTAGAGGGCCTTTCTAGTCTCACATGATGCACTTACTAGGCACAACCCAGTTAAAGGGACAGTGTTCCCACAAGGGGAGTCCACTGGCTTTCAACTGGGGTGCTGGGACCCAGTACTTACTGGGTGTGGGTCACAACAGCAGCACTGCCACCACACAAATATATTATTAAAAAGAAAGGCCTGGGTTCCCAAATCCATGTTTGGGTTAAAAGAGGGTCTTGGATCAGGAAAGGTTGAAGACTACTGACTTAAATTAAATGTCCTCCTTTGTGTTGCTCAATGCCAGAGCAGAAGGCTGTCAGTCAGACCGGCATCTATCTATCTATCTATCTATCTATCTATCTATCTATCTATCTATCTATCATCTATCATTCCAACCAACCAACCAACCAACCAACCACCCTTCATCCAAAGAGCTCAGGCTGCTTCACAGCATAAAAACATATAATGAAAAAACACAAAATTCATAATAAAAACAAGAACAAAAGGGGGGGGGCCTCCACAACCCTCTCTCCCACAAACACATTTAAAATGACATATAATCTTAATCAGCTTCTTCCTTTGGGGGGGACACAGGAGAGGAAGCATTTGGGGGATAAGGCTGCAGTGTGCATTAGAAGGTTAACCTTTTCCTCTCCAGCTGCATTTCCCCCCTCTACAAACTTCACCCCCATCTACACAGTTGTTAGGCTTGGGGGAGGAGAGAAGCTTTAATTGGGCGCAACGGGAATTGAGGCTGTGAGTAGGATCCAAAGATGCCACAGGCCACGTCTGGTCCATGGGCTGCCAGTTCCCTGTCCCTGATTAAGAAAGAACAACATCTTCAACAGGAGCAATTGAGAGATGCCAAATACAGTTCCAGATTTGTATTTGTTACATCATGGCAAAGGGCTAGTACTCAAGTTATCCTTTGCAATGCTGCTCTGTGTGGCATGTGCCATAAAAGAGGCATGGCCTCACAGAGACTTCTTTCTGCTCAGCCCTGGTTGCTGACAACGCAACAGAGAGGTATACAGTGGTACCTCAGGTTACATACGCTTCAGGTTACATATGCTTCAGGTTACAGACTCCACTAACCTAGAAATAGTGCTTCAGGTTAAGAACTTTGCTTCAGGATAAGAACAGAAATCGTGCTCCGTCGGCGCAGCAGCAGCAGGAGGAGGCCCCATTAGCTAAAGTGGTCCTTTAGGTTAAGAACAGTTTCAGGTTAAGAACGGACCTCCGGAACAAATTAAGTATTTAACCTGAGGTACCACTGTATAGGCACAAGCTCTGCAAGCAGCAACAAGATCAGTAGCTGAAGTGGGGGGAAACGTGAAAGGTGGGAGGTGGGGTGATAATGAACAAGTCACATAAACTTCAGATAGCAGGAATGGTGGATGAGAATTGCCCATGTGAAATCCAATCAAAAGTGGTCAAGCATATGTTAGAACTTGCCACATGTAGGGAAAAAATAATGGCTCTTGCATTATATGTGGGCTCAGAAAAACAAAGAGGGAACCCTACATTGAGAGAACAAAGTTCAAATGCAACAATTCTTTGCAGATGTAGATGATAATGATAAGGGATGATGCTTTAGATAAGGGGATTATGACAGAACAAGAAGAAATTGCGTAAGGTTGTTTCTTTAAAACAATAAATCTGCATTTAGAATTTTCTCTAAATGTTTATAAAATCAGATGGTTGTCAATCTTGCTTTTAATTTGCTTGTGGCTAATGTTTCCCAATAGATTTTCAATGGTTGTCTTATCAGAAGCTTTTCAATGTATTTTGTCAGAGGAGAGATAATCATTTGAGCAACTACAATTGCCTGAAGTCTTTCCATCAAAATGTAGCTTTCCACAAGAACACACAAACACTTTTTTTCCATATTTTTCTCGCATCTTTTTTCTGAACATAATATGTACCAAATTGGAATTATTCATCACTCCACAGGGGGGGAAATCATTAAAATCCCTCACACTTGGTTCTGAAGTTATTACATAGCTTGCTGAAGGGGGAAAAACTTCTGTGGTTTTTCTTGGGGTCCATCCTAATCCTCTCTTACTAACAAAGCATGTATTAAAGAATGCCATAGGGAGGCTGCAATATCAGTAGAACACACAGCTCTAAAATGCTTGTTTATATGATAAAGCTATACATTTTAAAAACACATTCATTCCCTCAAAACATACCAATCATTCTAATCATGGCCAACTTTTAATCAAAATGTAAAGACTAGTGTAGCAGTGCTTTTGTTCAGCCATAAGGCATTTCCTCTGCATTTTTTTGTTAGAAAATTCCTCCCTGCCCCCGAAATTCACTCGAATGGAACTTGACAAGACAGACTCCTCTCCTCCTGACAAAGAGCAGATGGAAAGTTAATGCCTATTAGGCTAAGGCAAACATTGTACACTCTCATTTTTCCCTTGAGAGGATCTGCTATATAGCCAATTCCCTGTTCAGACTAATATATGTTTGTGTTTGGATGGTGCTGTGCAGGACATATTATCATAGAACTGTAGAGTTGAAAGGGACCATAAGGGTCATCTAGTCGAACTCTCTGCGATGCAGGAATCTTTTGCCTAACGTGGGGCGCAAACCCATGACCCTGAGATTAAGATCAATATACAGTCGTACCTTGGAACATTCGGAAAACCAAATTGCTGCTTCCGATTGGCTGCAGAAAGCTCCTGCAGCCAATCAGAAGCCATGGAAGCCGCGTTGGACCCTTGGGTTCCAAAAGATCATTTGCAAACCGGAACAATCACTTGTGAGTTTGTGGCATTCAGGAGCCAAAATGTCTAAGTTCCAGGGCGTTCAGGATCCAAGGTACGACTGCACTCTGGAAATGATCGTCCTTAGCACCCTTTCCACTTCCAGAGTTTGAAGTCGTATTCCTCTGAATGCCAGTTGCTTAGAATCTTATGGGCTTCCCAGAGACATCTGGTTGGCCACTGTGAGAACAAGATGCTGGACCAGATGGGTCACATGCCTGTTCCAGGAGGCTCTTCTTCTTATGTTCTCATTGTTTTAGGGCATGTCCACAATATATATATTTTTCCAGAGGGACTGGATGTACTGAATGGCTCCATCTAATCCTCAGAAGTGACATGGCAACTTAAGACAGATCTCTGCTAGCCCATGTAGCAGATGAGGACACCAATGGCTATCAAAGTACACACACACACACACACACACACACACACACACACTTATAGGGCTCATTGTAGTCAGGGGATCAAATCCTCCAGCAGCACAAACACAGAAAGCAGTAGCCTACATAGCACAATCTTTATGCTTCATGTACAGAGGGAAAGCCAAACCCATGTTGAAAAAGGAGTGCTTTTCTACCGAGAATGCTTTCAGACATCCTGTTTATTCAGTACTCATCCTGATTTGGCTAGGCTTGATGACACTGATTATTTAGGAAGCATTCACCCTGATTTGTTTGTGGGGAAGGTTAGATGATGTTGCATTGAGCAAGTGATACCTCACAATTTCCAGTGCGTTTTCCTGTAACTTGTTGCAAAAAGTCCAATCTTTCAGGGAAGTGGGTTTGCTGCGCAAGACCTCTCATACAAATATAACTGTGCAACCTGAATTTGCCGGTATGTGATTGGATCCCATCCAAAAATACAGTGGTGCCTCGCAAGACGAAAATAATCCGTTCCGCGAGTCTCTTCGTCTAGCGGTTTTTTCGTCTTGCGAAGCAACCCTATTAGCGGCTTAGCGCTATTAGCGGTTTAGCGGCTAAAAGGCTATTAGCGGCTTAGAAAAAGGGGGGGAGCGAAAAAAAATCACAAGACTCGCAAGACGTTTTCGTCTTGCGAAGCAAGCCCATAGGGAAAATCGTCTTGCGAAGCAACTCAAAAACGGAAAACCCTTTCGTCTAGCAGGTTTTTCGTCTTGCGAGGCATTCGTCTTGCGGGGCACCACTGTAGTAGTAATTTGGAAGCACCAATTGAGGCAACAGGAAAGAGAAGAGAGCTGCTATAGCCAGGGGTGGCACCCTTTGAAGGCCTTCCACTGGTCCTGCCCCTGGGCATCTGCCAGATGCAGTGACTGGCTCTTGAGCCACATCAGCCCATGACCACTCCTGGCTTTCTGTCTGCACCATGCTGGGGGCACAATGTGATCTGCTGCGGAGAGGGTGGTGAAGTTGCATTAACAGTAGAGGAGCTGTCAGTGTGGGAGTGAGACCTCTCTACTAAACAGTTTCTTAGCCAAGCTGCAATGATATTTATGGGGGGTGGAAATCTTGTAGGACTTACACACAATTGTATTCAATAGAAGGGAGAGTCAACTGATTTCACAGCTGTTTGCTTACTTATCGTGTTTTTCCTTGATCTTTTTCTTATTCTCTTCAAATTGCTCCAAGACACCTTTGAATCTTCCAGCTGGAAAATTAAATGGTCCTTTTTCCTTTCCATCCCCTGCAAAGAGCTGTGGTTTAGACTGGTATTTGGCAAAAATACTGGGCTCATTCTGTTTTTGAGAGAAAGAGAGACAACATGTGCTAATATTTAACATGCATTAACAGAAAGACAGATAAAGCATCACCCAGGCTATAGCAACTACACTTTCACTAGGAAACACAGCCTCTTTTTCAGGAAAGTACATTTGTTTTTTAAAAAAATTATTCCACTGTTCAATCAGAAAGATTTCATAGCAGCTAACACATGGTATGTTAAAATACAATTCAGTAAAAATGAAAAGGAATGCAAGGGGTATAGCTTTGTGATGCAAAACATCTTCAACTCAGTCCCTTGGAATCTCCAGGCAGAACTACTTTGAGTAAAGCATCTTTCTTTCTTTCTTTCTTTCTTTCTTTCTTTCTTTCCTTCCTTCCTTCCTTCCTTCCTTCCTTCCTTCCTTCCTTCCTTCCTTCCTTTTTCTAAGCCACCAATTCATTTTTAAAAAGCATGTACATGAGAGGAGAGTGCTGTTGCTCTCAGCTTGTGGGCTTGCTATATGCATCTGGCTGGTCACTGTGCGAATGGGATAATGAACTAGATGAGCCATTGGGCTGATCCAGCAGCTCTTCTTATGAGTTGTTGGCATTTCAGGAAGAAAAGGCCTGCTTTTAATCCACCAAACCACTGTAGAAGAAAATGGAAACCTCACTCCCTTGATCTTTATTTTAAGCAGAAAGCCTAGCCTGCTGGATTACTCTCTTTCATCTTCAAAAATGTAGGAAAATCCATTTACAAAGTGCAGATGGGGCAAAAAGTATCAGGACAACAGAAAGGACCACATTGTACTTTTGAATCTCGAACATTAGGGGCTCGTCCATACTTCTGCTTGTCCTGTACCTAGAAAGCACAGCTCTGGGCAGTTTTCCGCTTGCCCCACTGTTGTCCCAGGGAAAACATGTTATTTAGCACTAAATTGGACCAAACGTCAGTCTGCAGAAACCTCACTGATGTTTACTCCAATTCAGCACTAAAGAGCAGCTTTTCCTCCAGGAAAAGAGTTGAGAAAAGTGGAAGTTTGGATGAGCTCTAGATTTCTTTTTTGTTTTGACCCTTGAGGATGTACCCTGATTTAAGCATGATTTCAGTGAAAAATGACGAATGAGTTGTAATGGCACACTATTCAGAACAGCACAAAAAATGGCTACACAGACGCACAGACTTCCAACTACTGGGTTTAGCTGGAGACGCCTGGCCTTCCTCCCAATGGAGCTCATATGTGCATGCGATTCCCCATCATATAGTTACAGAAGTCTACTTCTTTGTGTAGAAGTAGCCTCTAGCTGTATCAGAGAAGCAACTATTTTGTAGCACTGCACACCACCCCTATCTCTGAGCTGTGTGAAATTCCAAGAATTCCAGGTACTCACCTAGGGTTTAGGAATGAGGCACAGCTGAGACTGTCTGCGGTGTCCTTATGATATATGGTTTATTTACACATATTTACAACCTGAGCCTATGATGGAAGGGTTCACAGCATTACCACCCTAAAATGTCTTGTTTCTCTCATAGCTATAGCCTTGGTTTCAAACAGAAATCGAACATTGTTCTGCCTCTCTCCAGCTTGCTTCTTTTTCATCTACTTCATATCACTGTAATAACTCTGCCTTTTCCTTCTAACTAACTACAGTTGAGGGAGGATCCCCACCCCTTTGCTAACTCACACAGAGCCCTTTTCCTTTGTTCTCTTAATGGCCCACCACCCAGGTGATCACCTCATCAAGAACTTAGCCTGTCTTATATTTCAACACTTTCTGGATCCAGGGATTAGAAGGGTCTCTACACACAGCCTATTTCCCCAAGCTCTTAACTATCCGCACACACCCCACACCCCACAAGACATCTGTTCCAAGATATACAAGCAAACAGCAAAATAAAAGTTCCCTGTGGAAAGTAACAAACAAGTTAGCAAAGGCATTAGAAGACACATAATCAAAAACCGATAATAAAACACATTTACACTTTTAACCCAACACCAGTACAGTTACACCTTATTCCTTCCAAGCAAATTTCCAGTCCATCAGGATCTCTTCAGGCCTTCCTCTTTCTCCTTGGTCCGCATGCCCTAGCCACAGTTCTGCACCCCAAAGCATCTTACTCAGTCTCCCACATTTGAAACCCCTCCCCTTGATTAGGTTATTCCATGCCTTTTTCTCCCTGCATGTGTCCCAGGTAATGAAGAAGGAAGTAGTGATTGTGATACTGGTATACAGTCATTCTTCTTCTTCTTCTTTGGCGATCACTTGTAGCTGAGTAAGATTGTCTTCCATAAACATGGTTTTAACAATGAGTCTGTAAGTGACTGTGGAGGCTAATTCTGGATCCACATGTCCTTCCACGGTGGAGACATTGGTTTCCGGGCGGAGCGCAACTTTCTCCCGATTGAAATGCAGAGTGTTTGAGGACTGGGACATTCGCAGGAAAACCAAAACGCTTGTTTACAAAGCTATTGTACTACCAACCTTACTATATGCTTGTGAAACATGGACCACTTGTAAACGCCATCTCCAACTCCTCGAAAGATTCCCTCAACGGTGTCTCTGAAAAATTTTACACATCACTTGGGAAGACAGGCGAACTAATATCAGTGTACTGGAAGAAGCAAAGATCACCAGTGTTTAAGCAATGATTCTTCAACATCAACTTTGTTGGACTGGTCATGTTGTGCGGATGCCTGATGATCGTCTTCCAAAGCAACTACAGTGGTGCTGCGCCGCCGGAGCACGATTTCTGTTCTCATCCTGAAGCAAAGTTCTTAACCTGAAGCACTATTTCTGGGTTAGCGGAGTCTGTAACCTGAAGCGTATGTAACCCGAGGTACCACTGTACTCTATTCTGAACTTTAAAATGCGCCCTTTTTCTGGGATGGATGTATTGTGAGGTAAAGCAAAATCAATTTGCAATGAGCTTTTATTTTCAGAATGAAAATAGTTTCTCAAGAGGTGTCTTTCAGGGGGTAAAAAATATGCACTAGATCTAGATTGCATGTGGACTACATAGATTCAGGCTCCATTGGTTCTAGAAATAAATTGTCATGGGTTACACAGCCACATTTGTTGTGAGGTTAATATGCCGCATAGAGCTTCTGCAGGAAGCAATGTAATAACAAACTCTATGTTCAATTTTTACTAATTCCCCAAAGGCAGAAAATTACCAGCATAGAAACATTACACATCAGACTCACATCCTGAGAATTTTGCTGTGAACTTTTGTCTTGTTTCAGTTCAAGCGGGGTCAGTGCTGACTGTGAATTCTCTGGGCAGAACTGGGAACCAAAAAGGAACTGAGAGTCACTCATACTGCTGTAATCACTGGTCCAGTTCAATGGTTTGTTAGGCCTGAAACAGGAAAACAGAAAAAGCAAGTGTAAAAAATAGTAATGACAATATATGAAAAACATACAGCACAGCCAAAATATATTTGGTTCTTTATCATGCCCAAAACTGCCTAAACTCCATAACAAAACAGTATTAAATGCTTGGCAATCCTGATGAATGTTCATTTGGAGGCAGAGGAACTTCTACTATTCATCAGAAAGAAATAAGCCACAAAACATGGAATCCTAGTATCATTGATTTAAGGCCTGTATCATTCTTCTCATGGGATTCAGAAATAACGTTTTTCTGTTGCTAGTAATACAATTGATCATTCCCCTCTTCCAACAAATTTAAATGTCTGAGGTTTTGGTTGAAATTACATGAGGAGAATGAACAGAAGTGGAAAATGTGTCAAGAGTTCTCAGCAGCAGCTGCAAATTTGATGTACCGGTAACTGATTATTTGTTATTACTTATGCCTTGGGTCACTTGTATTTTACAATTCTATATAAGGAGAGAACTTTGGAAACAGGCAGTGAATCCTGCATCATCCTGAAAATCTTACTTATTTTTAAAATGCGCTTACAGTTGTGTAGAAAGGTTATAGGTGAAACGTCAGAAAACTGGGGGATGCTGAAATCCCCAGAATTCCCTGGGAAGAGGGATTGACTGTCAAACCACTCTGGGAATTGTGACTTACTGAGAACAGGGGTCTCCTAACAACTACTGGCACCCGTAACTAACTACAGTTCCCAAAATTCTTTGGGGGAAGATAAGAATGGTTAAAGTGGTATGATATAGCTTTAAATGGATAGGGCAGATGGGGTCTATGTTGCTACTCTGTCAATCATCCTAGACAGGGCTAGTCCTGGTCCTGGACTGGGCTAACATCAGCAGCAGTATTATGCTTCCCCACCGGAGCAAGAATGAGTAAAGCTGAATCTTTGCATCCTCTGAACCCCAGTATCAGCTAGCTCATACAAAACTGTTTTCTCTCTGCAACTTCTTCAAAATCATCAGAATTCTTTGAAGACCCATGGTATGAGCCTTTGGTGTGTTTAGAACCCTAACATACTGCATGTAACAAAGCCATTCATTTAAATCTACAGGTTTAAAAAGTAAGTTTCTTCTTTTACTTCTGTGTCCTTAGCTATCCCCTAGTTTAGAGAACATTTTGAGGATTGATTTCTACTAGGCTTGCCAGATCATTCCCTTTTCATCCTTTCAGATCGTGCTTTTCTGTTGCAGCTCAAACACCGACATGCTTATTTGATGTCAGAGGCCCTATTCCAACAAAACAGCGCTTTTGCTTTTAATCTTTGCTATTTATAGGATGCCAGCCATGTTGGAACAGGAGTACTGACACATCAGAAAAATGACTGGGAAGCATATGACTGCAGAAATGCAATAAATATGCAAATGTTGTTTTAAATATAATAACATCAGACTATGAACTCAGCTGTGTACCAGATGCAGACAAAGCTCTATGCTGTGCTCAAATTACATCTAAAAAGGGATTGAATGCCACCTACAACTGTGCACTTTCCCTCCATCCTCCATTAGTAATGGAAATTGATATTTGATAAAAGTCACAATGGATTCACATAAAAATTCTTCCCAAGTCATTTAATCAGCGTGGTTTTAACATACAGTATGGGTCAGCCTTTTTCAATGCAGTATGCCAGAACTACATATTCTGTTCCAACAAAGAGGCCATCGCCTGCCTATGAGATTCTGGAGGCAGCTGGCTGCTGTTAGTGACAGACTGCTGGACTAAATTGACACTTGGTTTTAAAGTAGCCTGACCTTTTACTTGCCACCCCCAGGTTTCTTTTCCTTAGGCCACCCTGAGGGCTAGTGAAGGGAGCAGGGCAGTTTTTATATGCAAAGATTGGAGGCTGTATGCTTCTGAACACCAGTTGCTGAAAAACATACGAGGGAGGAATGTGTTGTTGTGCTCAGGTCCTGATTGAAGGTTCCCACAGGCATCTGGTTGGCCACTGTGAGAACAGGATGCTGGACTAGATGGGCTACTGGCCTGATCCAGCAAACTCCTATGTACAGTAACTGCTATCCCACCTCCATTCCCGGTGAAGCAGCAACTCTTGTTGGTGAGGGATGTTCTACTGGGGCTTCAGGAATAGGGATTTGATGAGAGACAGAGCCTTAGATTTGTACATTCAGAGCTATATTAGTGCAGTTAACTTTGCTAATTCTGCTGAGTGGAACCCTGGAGAGTTGCCTCAAAGTCCTAAATTGACAGCACCACTACGTCGTTTCCCCCCCACCCCGCCCCAAGAAACAGGTTTTTAGGGCTAACATTATCCCATATGGAACACACCTTTCTAAATTTATTTCTTGTATATCACACTTCTTTCTCCAAAGAGCTCAAGGCGGCATACATTGCTCTCCCTGTCCTCTTTTAATCCCCCCAACAACCCTTCGAGATAGGTTAGACTGAGAGGCAGAGACTAGTGCAGGGCCATCCAGCAAGCTTCAGGTCCTAACCCAACTCTCCAACCACAACACCACACAGGCTCTCAGTATGTGAAAAGTATCTTCCTTTGTAGTAAGCACAAAAGTCCAGTAATAGGGGATAGTGGAGAGGGCAATCTATTTGCCTGGGGAGAGCTGGCCTCCTCTGATACCATCTGTGGTTCAGGCACTAGCATCCCTGCTAGCACTTTTCACGTTTCCATCCTCTGTCATTGAGACCCTTTTCTAGCCCTGGAATGGTGTTTCTGCAATCACAAGGGCAGTTCATGATATATATATAAAAAAAAAAACAGGCAGTGCTCTCACCAAGTTGTACCACAGGACTGAACCTGACCTGAAGTTTAACTCTCTGCCCTAATCACCACACATTACTCCACATCCATCCTGCATGTCATCCTCTGATTGACTCCCATGATGATCATAGTGTGAACAAGCTGCCTTATGTCATATTTGTTTCCTGAGGGCATCATATATTGCTTCTGGCTGTAGCAGAAGGTTCGAGCATTTGGATTACAGTGGTACCTCAGGTTACAGACGCTTCAGGTTACAGACTCCGCTAAACCAGAAATAGTACCTTGGGTGAAGAACTTTGCTTCAGGATGAGAACAGAAATCGTGCAGCGGCAGCAGGAGGCCCCATTAGCTATAGTGGTACCTCAGGTTAAGAACAGTTTCAGGTTAAGAACGGACCTCCAGAACAAATTAAGTTCTTAACCTGAGGTACCACTGTATTTAAATCAGGGGTGAGGAAGCTGTGGCCTTCCTGATACTGCTGGACTACGACTCCCATCATCCCTGACTACTGGCTATATTAGCTGTGGCTTATGGGAGCTGGAGTCCAGCAACATCTGGAGGGCCACAGGTTCTGATGCCCCCTTATGAGTCTTCCTATATAACTGTGCTATCCTTACACTGGGAGAAAACATTAAAATTGATTTAGATATGAATCTAGTAAGCCTTGTTTGAAAAAACAGACCTTGAAAACTACTAGATGGTAACACAATCAAGCAGCATGTGTTTAAATAAACGGTAAATCATGCCAGAGAAAATTAATCACACTGTTCTCCATGTTGGCTTTGTTGACTCCTTCTGCCTTACAAAATTCTATTAACTTGCCTGCCTGACGTGAGTACATTTCCCTTAATTGGCAAATAAATTATTAATTTATTTTCTTGTTTTAATTCTCCTCCTCATCCGCCATCATAGCAAAGCACAATAGCAGAGGATTTAGTGTGTACACTGGTAAATTTTTGTGACAGTTTTAGAAGGTTAATTTAGAGAGCATATGCTCAGTGGGCCAAATTTGTCACGTGGCTGTGCTGGTGTTACACAGGGGATTAATCTGTTTGTTAAATGGGTCTAAAGATTGCTACTTTGCTCCTCTCACTTTTATAAATTGCCCTGCCGCTGCTTTCTCTCGATGTCTACAACAGGAAAAACACCGGGTATTTTGCTACATCCGAGATGTAGAACCTATTCTTCTGTTACTTCTTAAATGAAAAACTTATAAGCAAGCTCATAAATGCAGTAGAATAAGCTCCACAATTGTATAATAAGTAAATTGTATTCTGAGCATCATGATTCATTTCAGCACTGTCTTCATCATGACTAGAGAGGCCCTTTCACATAATAAGCTTTGTACTGTAAACAGCACAAGGGAAATTACAGAGATAAAATGCTCGCAAAGCCTAGAATAATTTAATCTGGCGGTAAAACAGTATCTTCCACACATTTTAATATTCCCCCTCAAGTAAAATTAAAATATATTACCATGTCTGTGTTCTTGTAGCACGATATAAGATCAGACATTTTCAGAAAAAGTAACAAGTTATACATCGCCTTCCATTTGATGGATGTATTTGCATGTCACCTTAAATACTACTCATATCAACCATATAAATGCAGTCTGCCCTACTTCTAGAGATGCCCTTTTTTAAAAATCACAAGGTCGTGGGCTTCAGATTGCATAATCATGCATCGCATTGTAAATTCTAATTTAGACTAATGAAATGCTTTTCGAGCCAATTCACAGAGGCAGCAATTCCTTATTTCTCTAAAAGCAAGGACACTAGGCTGTCCAGATCACTAAGAGCTAATCTGCACATTATGAAATAGCTCTGATATGCACAAATAAGTGCTCTGAGCAGTGTAATGTTCAAAAACCATACTCGAAGACCCAGCAGGAGCTTTTCTATGTGGAGATTTCTTTATCTTGTTTTCTCCTGCTCTAGAGAGTAGGACTCGACCCAATGGCTTCAAGTTACAAGAAAGGAGATTCCGACTAAACATCAGGAAGAACTCAGTCAGGTGGCATATAAATAATAAAATTAGTAGTAGTAGTAGTAGTAGTAGGGACGCGGGTGGCGCTGTGGGTAAAACCACAGTGCCTAGGACTTGCCAATCATATGGTCGGCGGTTTGAATCCCCGCGGTGGGGTGAGCTCCCGTCTTTCAGTGGGCTCCTGCCCACCTAGCAGTTCGAAAGCACCCTTAAAGTGCAAGTAGATAAATAGGTACCGCTTTATAGCGGGAAGGTAAATGGCGTTCCGTGTGCTGCGCTGGTGCAGGCTCGCCAGAGCAGCGATGTCACACTGGCCACGTGACCCGGAAGTGTCTGCGGACGGCGCCGGCTCCCGGCCTCTAGAGTGAGATGAGCGCACAACCCTAGAGTCTGTCAAGACTGGCCCGAACGGGCAGGGGTACCTTTACCTTTTAGTAGTAGTAGTATTATAGCTGTTTGAAAGTGGGACAGACTCCATTGGGAGGTTGTGGACTCTCATTCATTTGAAGGTTTTCAAGCAGAGGTTAGATGGCCATCTGTCATAGATGCTTTAGTTGAGATTCCTGCATTGCAGGGGACTGGACTAGATGACTCTGGGGTCCCTTTCAACTCTATGATCCCCAGCATGCCACTGACATCATCATCATCATTATTATTATTATTATTATTATTATTATTATTATTACAATTTGTATACCACCCTTCATCTGCAGATCTCAGGGCGGTTCACAACATAAAAATACAATATAAAAGCACAACATACCTGATAAAAACAATAATAACAAACCCATAACAAACCAATAACCCCCAAACACATTTAATAGGGTTATAACATGTTAATCAACCAAAGGCCTGGTTGATGAGGAAGGCGCATAATGAAGGCGCCAGACTTTCCTGGGGAGAGCATTCCACAAATGAGGAGCCACTGCAAAAAAGGCCTGTTCTTGTGTTGCCACCCTGCAGACCTCTCATGGGAGGAGACACATGAAGAAGGGGGCCTCAGATGATTATCTCAGGGTCCAGGTAGTTTCATATAGAGAGAGGAGAGAGGAGCTCCTTGATGTATTGCAGTCCTTAGCCGTTTAAGGCTTTATAGACCCAAACTATAGTTAGGGTTAGTTATAGCGTCCAAACCAGAATTGGAACCCATGGTTGGAATGTATGCACAGTCAACGATAATGACACAAGAATGATACTATAACAATGGCAGCAATAACCTGCTTACCCCATCTTTATAGGAGTGCTAAACATCTCTTTGACATTCCAGAGATTTGGATTCATTTCCCAGGCTTGCCTGTTAAAACATAAAGAGAAATATGTGAATGTTGCAGTGTGGTACATTATTCTTCTCATACACTGTTTCATCAAGGCATCAATTTTAACGACTGTTTCCCCCACGACTGCCATGAAAGCTAGGCAGTGGAAGAAACTACCCTAAAACAAGACACAATCTCCAAGTAAATTGCTGACCACCTTGCTTCAAGAATGGATACTACCCAGGCAAATATATTGCTTTGGCTTTGTTGTTATTGTCAAGATTCTAGTGCCACTCAGCATTAAAAATCAACAGGAGTGAAATACAGGGTGCTTCAAGATGAAGTCACCTTCATCAGAATGCCAGCCCATAGATGTTTGTTTACATGTAAACTAGATTTTTCACTTCCCACAGAAAATCCAATATGTAAAAATAGCCCATTATACATTGGCAATTGTGGTTTTTCTTTTGGGGTTTTTTTGGAGGGCAGTTTGTCACATGCACGGTGTGACATTTTGATGAGTGGCCTCTGTCACCATATCTGATTCTCTTTGTTCTTCAGCTGAGCACAACCTACAGCCATTTTATTTCTGGAGGTCCCCAAAACCAAATGAAAGACATCTATTTCCACCGATTTCTACATGTTGAAGGCACCCTCAATTTGGAAGAGCAATTCTCTCATGATCACCACACAATAAATGTGTGGGGTTACCAAGGAAACTGTAATCACAATCCATATATCAGGATTTCTGCTGCTGTTGTTTTAAAAAGTAATAAAAGAGCTCTTGTGGAAGGCCTCTTAATTACTCTTGCACAAACCTTATGCAAGTCAAATACTATTCTTGTGAGAGACCTCAGTATCAACTTTTCCTAACAAATAGAAATTGATAATGCTTTTACTCATTTCCTGGCTTCTTTTTTTAAAAATGCTGTTGTTGTTGTTGTTGCTACATTTATACTCCGCCCATCTGGCTGAGTTTCCCCAGCTGCTCTGGGTGGCTTACAACATATCTAAAAACATAACAAAAACATCAGTCCCTTAAAAACTTCCCTAAACAGGGCTGCCTTCAGATGTCTTCTAAAGGTCAGATAGTTTTTTCCCCCCTTGACATCTGAAGGGAGGGCATTCCAGAGGGAGGGCGCCACTACCAAGAAGGGCAATGGAGGGTGGAAAAGTGATTGAGGGCAGGTACAAAACAACAAACAATGCCCAAGTTCACGATACATATAAAACACATTTGCAGTGGTACCTCTGGTTGCAACATGAATAGAACACAACCCGCAGTGGCACGTCTGTGCACACACAGGTTGTGATTCGCTGCTTCTGCGCATGCGCGTGGCATCATTTTGCATGTCTGTGCATGCGCAAGCAGCGAAACCCGGAAGTAACCCTTTCCGGTACTTCCGGGTCGCTGCGGGACGCAACCTGAAAAAACGTATCATTAAGCAAAAGTAACATGAGGTATGGCTGTATACACAATACATATGAAACACTACAGATTACCCCTCACAGAGCTACAGTTCCAAGCACCTTAAACTCCTGTTCCCAGGATTCTTGGGGGCAGGGATGTGCTTTAAATATATGGTGTGTCAAGTTCCTCCAACTGGGGTAGATGAAAAGCCCTGGAATAGAAACGTATATTTGAAAAAGAAAAAAGAAATTTGGATTTGAAAAACATGCCTTTTGAAAAAAATGTGTGGAATCTAACATGCTTAGCATGCACACAGAAAAATCTGGGCTCAGTTATGACCCATGTGCCCTCCTATTACAATAGCAAATTGTGTCCCTGGCAAAACAGTGCCGACAAAAGGAGACGAAATTGATAGCAGCATGCTTGGGGGGAAAGACGACATGAGAACATGGGCGTAGCCGGGGGGGGGGGGCAGGGGGCAGTTGCCTCACCTAAATCAATACAAATCAATAAAATGACATAGCTGAGGTTCTGCACCTCCCCTAACAAAAGGCCTGCCCTCCCAAACAAAAAATCTGGCTATGCCCATGCATCAGCATCTTTGGAAAATACCCCCACAAGGAAAAACTAAGGGGCAAAACACCCCTCGCAAAAAAATGATATTAATTATTATTATTATTATTTATTATTTATACCCCGCCCATCCGGCTGGGCTTCCCCAGCCACTCTGGGCGGCTTCCAACAAAATATTAAAATACAGTAATGCATCGATGCTTAGATGGCCACAGGACGCTGCTGTCGGTTGGGCAGAAAACCAAATTCAAGATTCTGCAAGGCGGCTCCACCACGCTGCACCATTTTGTGGCAGGTCCCATGGGCGTCGCTTTGACGTTTTTGTTTTTATTTTTGACGCCCTGAACGGTTCATACCCCACACCCCCGGCTACTGTTACAAAGTCACTTGTACCTGAAAGGCGCTTAAGGTATTGGAAGAACCATTGCTGCCTCTGCATGATTTGCAACCTGCCGCCCCTAAGTGCCAATGTAAAACCAAGAGGGACTTGAGGCGGGAGCACGTCTCCCCTCTTGGAGTTGGGCTGCTAATGCAGCTCCTCCTCCCCTTTGAGAAATGTCCCTGGGTGTGTGGAGCTGACGTGTAGGCATTAAGTGTAAAGCTAACGTGCCTCCTCCTCCTTTCTTTCAGCAGGCCTTGCTTTCTTCCGCCTTCCCTGGCCTTAGGGGGCGCGGGGAGTTGTTCCGCGGGCGCGCGAGAGGCGCCTGACGCTCTTCCTCAGGCGAAGCGCCTCGAGAGGCTCCCTCACGGTTCTCCCTCACGCAGCGAGGAATCCTCGCTATATATATAAAGTTTTAATGGTGTTCCACGCGCAAAGCATATTGCACAAGGCCCGCACAAGTCTCTTTCCCACCACCTTCCACCCCCACAGAGAGGCAGCGCCTCAATAAAAATAAGTATTTTAGTTCCTTGACCGAATTAACGTTATCGCCTCCCTCACAAGAAACGTCCTCATCCCGTTTCCACCTTCCCTTCACAGCCGAAACTTCCCATTTGGGAGCGGGCAATCTTGTTTTTCCTAATCTCACCGTCTTTTCAGAGCCCCAGGAAGATTGAAGCACCACAGGCTGGGTTACATGTACCGACATATCATCATCATAGTTATTTTTAAATTGCTTTGTTTAAAAAATAAATCGGATTCCTCCTTAAGAGAAATTCCACTCGGGAAGATCTAAACCCCTCACAACATTCAGTTGCTGTTTCAAGAGATCTCAGCACTCTTCATCCCCTGAAAAAACACTCTTGGAAATCCCATTACTGTACTCCGAATATTAAGACCTCAGCAATCCAGTTTTTCTGTGTAAAGAAATGGTAGCCAAGACACGAGGGAACAAAAATCACAATTGTTAAGTCAGTGCATATAAATGTAAATCAAAAGTTACATTTGCCCGTTGCCTAGCTCTGAACAGTCTCATAAAAGTTCATGTGAAGAATTATATTGATGATAACGATAATAACAATAATAATGTCTGTGTGGTCATGCATGTCTATTCAGAAGTAAAAGTACCTTTGAATCCAATGGGGTATTTGAGTCTCAGGTTGGGGTATGTAAGCTTACAACCTGAAAGTTAGAGAGAAAGAGGTGAAACCTATTTGGTTGCTTCAAAGTTGGTTTAATATACATTCTCTCTACTTACAATCCTTGGAATTGAGGGAAAGGCTAGGAAATTTCTAATAGGCTTTTTAACACCTCACCAATTTCCAATATTTTTTGGGGGGGGGGAGCCATGACAGTTAAACTGCTTGAACACAAATGAAAGTCTGTAGTGTAACTACGGTAGGTGGTCCACATAATTTTTATGCAAAGCCACCCCAAAAAGCTGACACTTGTGTGGTCATTAAAGAAATGGGGGCAGAACAAGGTGCTCCTCTCAAAGGACAGAAACGTCTGATTCAGGAGACAAAAAGTGGCTAATCCAAAGAGATACAGACATGATATTATTCAAAGTGGGTGTGAGCAGATCTGACCCAAGCATAGGATCCTGACTCCTGCTCCTCCATCAACATGCCCTTCATTCGACCCATATCCCCCTTGGCACTGACAGAAGAGTTGTTGCAAAAAGTGTCCTTTTTGATTGCCAGTGTGAATGGGGATTTGGGAGCAATCCTACTTTACCCAGCAAGCATAAATTGGGGATAGGATGACATTGTTAGGTTCCTAATGAGCCATTCCATTAATCCTAGCCCCTGTGATTCAGGATTCCCATTCTTTTTTCCTTTATGTTACACAAAGCGCTTTGCAGTAAGCCCCGACAAAGGGCAGAACAAAGGTGTGCGAAATAAAGTGAGTTTTGGCAGGCAGCCCATGATATTCCAAAAATTAAGACGTGGCTTTGAGCTTGCTTCTCACTGGGTGAAAGTGGGGGGAAGATATGCTTGCAATCTCCCCATTTACTAACCTCTGCTTATCCCATAAAGAACAAAATCGAGGTAGGAAATCTCATTCCAACAGTTCAAAGGATAGAAGTCTGAAACATTCCCTCAAAACAGGTTGTGCAAACTGGCTTCCTTTAAAAAATATAAAGGCAGAAGAAGCTATAGCATATTTTTCCACGCCATATTGGAGAGGGGCAAAGTTCAGTCTAGTTAAATTGCCCCATGGACCTTCACTCAATCCATATCCAGCATTCTTGTGCTCCATTGATTTGCCTGTAGGCAAATGGCATTTTTTCTCCTAAAAGGGTAAAGTGAAGTGTAAAATACAAATTCCAAATCAATCTTGAAGTGATGCAGTGTGGTGTCTTAAGTTTTGATAATTTTTTTGTTCTTTTGCATACAGCCTGATCTGCGCTGGCCCAAGACCTTTTGGCACTTGAGGCAAACCACACAACATGGCGCTCACATCCACTGGCCAGGGAAGAGGGGGTGAGTGAAGATCTACACCAGGAACAAGGTGGAGGGGAATCAAAGCAACCTTACCCAACAGCTGAAAAGGTCATTGAGGGTGGGTGAGGGGAAGGGCAGTAGCAGCAGGCAATGCATATATTGGAGGTCAGATCTGCTGTCCCCATGGATCCGGCCGCCTGAGGCAGTTGCCTCAGCTTGCCTCATGGGTGAGCCGGGCCTGAGTCTGATCTTGTTCAAGTTTTCCCTAGAACTTCGCTCCCATGGATTGCAGTAGCACTTAGTTACCTGTATTTTGGATTGCAGCCTGAAGAACTTTGGTCACTATCTCTACCGTACTGGGCACAAGAATTGTAGGATTCATACTGACTTTACCGAGAGTAAAGTGAAAGCTTTAGCCATTGTAGGCTTGTAATTTATGCAATCAATGATTTACTTTAGCCTTGGGGTGGTAAGACTTTCCAGTTTTTTCCTGCTGTCAGAAGGGCATGCAAATATGCAAGCAAAACCAATGTTTGTAATATATAAACACCATGGGAATTTCACTTACTGAGGAAATTAGAGGGAGCTAAATTTTCCCATCACAACAACTGGGTAAATAATCCATGAGCTACATATTCTCCAAGGGAAAGTTTATCAGCGTTGGTTATGCAGATGTAATGACTTATTAACTATTCATTGTTTCAATATCCTGCTAAAGAGTTGAAAAGGGAGTAATAATATTTATCTGGTTTTTTCTCCTTTGTAATGATCCCACCCCCCAAAAAATAAAAAGTTGGTGTTACTATTACTAGATACAGTAATTTCTTTTATTTTTCCTTTCTTTTTTCAATACAGTTATTTCTTGAGTATGATGGTATATAGCCAGTACACCATAATGCCAACCTGTGCAAACTGAAGAGATGGTATGCTCTGTTTCAGCTTTTACATGTGAATGACAGTATTGTTAAAGTAGAAGGATACAACATGAAAGAGGAAGAGAATGTACATTCCCGCCACAGGGTTGTTGTTTTTAACATCCCAATTATATTTTGAGCTGAGCTGAGTTAAGACACTCATGTGAAAAAAGATCAGTTTTATGTTCAACTCTGGGCTCTTCCTGCTGGCTGCTGCCCCCGGGTTTGGTAGAGTTAAAAAGGAGGTAGGCTCAAAAGTACCTCTCAGAAGAGATACTAAATAATATAGGAAATTGATGCTACCATTGCTCACTTTAGACCACAGTTGCTATGCTGTGCATACTGATCCTGTGAGTCCATTAGACTGCCTTACCTTCAAGAATACATTTCCACCATATCCAGAAAAAAACTTACTTTAAAATTTATCTACCATAAGACTAAATATCGTTTTTAGTATGCTATACAAATCTCGTTCCCAAATAGCATGATCTGCAGAACCCCAAAGCTTCTTACATCCACTTTAACTCTCTCTCTCTCTCTCTCTCTCTCTCTCTCTCTCTCTCCATATTGGATTTTTGAAACTAAGAATTAATAAAAATTATTTAACAAAAACAAACGTGTGTGTTTTGTGTGTGTGTGAAATATTCTGTTAATCATCTGCTAAATATATTTCAGGACAGGTGCAAATTATGTACATGCCAGCAAATAATACACATACTGAAAGAAACACATACTGAGAGAAACAGAGTTTGAGAGTATATTGAGACACAGGCTAACCATATGGCACAGTTGGAATAGGGCCTAAGAATCATGGTGAAAGATACAGATCCATGCATAACACAAGCATGTCCCCTTACCAAGTATAATTGTGCTTGGAGAGCCCCCCTCTGGCTTCTGACTTGCAAATAATTACGCCTTCCTTTGCCACCGTGAAATATGAAAATGTATTTTTATAATTGCATTTTTAAAATGACTTCGAAAGTAGATTCTCAACAAGTCAAAATCTATGCCAGATAATGGATTTCATGCTTTTATCAGTGCATACCTCACCCTCCAAGGCACACTCCTCCATAGTCTCCCGATACAGACGGATGCCAACCAACCAGCCAGAGTAGGCACTAAATGCTGCATACCTGCTTCGTTGTTCTCTTGCCCTTTCTTTGTGGGATTCTTTCCTTTGGCCATCTGCGCAACAAAAAATTCTATTAAATTATTCTATTAAATTATTTTATCACCATCCCACAGACTATGACAAAAATCCATGCTATTCTTACAAAGCTTCATGGGCTCCTATTGAAGACATTTCCATACACGTTAAGAAATAATGAGTTGCTTTGGCGCTGTACAATTTCAGCGAGATTTGGCACCAGTTTGTTGTGTTATTTTCTGCTATTACACAGAATGTTCCCTGCTTCAGAAGTGGCTGTGGAGATTCAGTTTTGTGCTGATTGCTGGCTGGATCTCTGGGGCTCAGAAAATGAGATTTGATATTTTCAGTGGGCTTCTGTGCAAAAAGGTAACATTTCATTAAAGAAGGACATTTTCCTTCATAGCCATCTATGACAGCTAACCTCATTGTTATAGTCTCTAGTTTCTCTCCTTCACAGCACAGAGCTTAGGGCTATTGTCAAGCACTGTCTTCAAGTATATATCTGAAGGAAGTGGATTTTTTTTATTTTTTTTGCCTCTGTAGTGACACACAAGAAGCCTTTAATCTATTAACAAGCAATGAAGTTGCCTGAAAGCAACTGGTCTCCTATTTAGTGGATGTTCTTAAGCACCTTGCCTTCCAGCACCTTTTTTACAAAATCTTCTACAAAAACACGTAGTTTTTTCTGGGCACTTAAAAAGGTTGATGTTCAACCTGGCATAAAAGCCATAACTTTAATATTTAAAGTTATTATTTCATAAATCCATTCATCTTCTCTACAACAATGGCTGTGGTGGGTAAGGATCTTGACTAGGCTTCCTCAACCTCGGCCCTCCAGATGTTCTGAGACTACGATTCCCATCATCCCTGACCACTGGTCCTGCTAGCTAGGGATCATGGGTGTTGGTAGGCCAAAAACATCTGGAGGGCCGAGGTTGAGGAAGCCTGATCTTGACCATATAAAATGCTTATTTGGTCCTAAATTCACACTCTTAAGGCAGATCCAATGAGTATGGCTGTGTGACAAGATGCCGTTCTACGGCTACGGTTCTGCAGACATTCACGAGGATGTATTTTAGTGGCACACGTAACTGTATCGTAATCCTAGTCCATCTCAATGAACATATGTTCCACTATGGCACACAGCAGTATGGAGATTAGATAGATAGATAGATAGATAGATAGATAGATAGATGATAGATAGATGATAGATAGATAGATAGATAGATAGATAGATAGATAGATAGATATAGATAGATCAGAACCTAGCAAATGTTTTATCCCTCATGATTATAGAAATAAGTTTGAATATAAGTTGTATGACAATGTCTGCTGAAGATCAAATCTCAGTGCCAAGCCAAAGTGCCATTTTAAAGTTGTGACTATTTATTTACGTGATTGGTTAATGCACTTCACCTGTTGGTATTTGATTCCTATTAAGTAAACCCCTTTCAAAGGTACTGGAACAAGCCAGGCGAGGGTTTTTATTTATTTATTTATTTTCTCTCAAGAGCAGTTGGCAAACCTATCTACCTGCCCTCCTGACTACCCCAAACACTGTCTGAGTACTAATCGCCACATTTTAATAATACAGGTTCCTTCTCAAGAGCAGAGAATGGGCTGAAATGTCACATTGAGCATCAGGCAGACATCTTGTCCCTGATCTAACAATCCATGCTTTCCGCATATAATAGTTGCTTGGCAACCATGTAAACATGGGTGGCAAGCCCTATGCCCAGGTACCAGCTAGCTTCAGGTGGCGGCTCAAATAACTGAGGGGACAGGCCACTTTTACGTGGCTCCCCTCAGATCCTGAGGGGATGCCTAGCCCGATCGTAGGGACATGGGTGAGTTCAATGTTTGTGATAAATGCTGTCCGTGGCTGTTTGCAAGGCTTCACAAACACTTTATATTCTAGAAAAAGATGACTAGGTGTGTCTAGAAATGCTACCCTCTAATCTGGAAGTATTCCCTTCTAATCTATGGGATCTGGGATGCTTTGGGCTATATACACACTCTACCTCTGAAGCATATCTGATGCTCATTCTTTCTTGTAAAGAATCTTGGGCACTGTAGTAAAATTCCCAGCAACTTTTAACAAATCACAGTGCCCAGAATTAATTGAGGGAGATAATGGGCTTTGGAGGTATGTCAGTGCAAAGCTTTCCAAACTGTGTCTTATGACACATTATGTGTGTCGGCTGCAGTGTGTAGGTGTGTCACACAAATGCTCTTATAAGGGGTTAGTTTAACCTCCGGCTTGCTACTAAAACTGAATTACTGTGCCGCGAAATGATGCATGTCTAAAAAGTGTGTGGCCGTCATGGAAAGTTTGGAAAGCTCCGGTATAGTGTGTACCGAGCCTTGGTGAAAAGATAAATGCATTCTGCCCTGGCTCAAGTGTTCCCTCATTTTTCTCCTTACTTCACATGTTCCAGGCCTGAGCCTTGGCAAGCCTTGGTGCAAATTAAGCCCTGCA